CTAGGCATGACTAGGGATGCCTGGTATGACTAGGGATAAGTAGAGATGACTAGCGATGACTTGGGATGAGTTGGGATGACTAGGGATGATTAGGGATGACTGGGATGACTAGGGATGATTAAAGATGTCTAGGGATGTCTGGGATGACTAGGGATGACTACGGTGACTGGTATGACTAAGGATGACTACGGTGATTGGTATGACTAAGGATGACTAGGGATGAGTAGCAATGACTAGGATGATAAGGGATGACTAGGGATGACAAGGGATGACTAGCGATGACTAGGGATCACTGGGGTGACTAGGGATCACTGGGATGAGTAGAGATGACAAGGAATGACTAGGGATGACTAAGGATGACTAGGGATGACTGGGATGACTACGGATGACTAGAGATGACTAGGTATGAATGGGATGACTAGGGATGACTGGAATTACTACGGATGACTAGAGATGACTAGGAATGACTAGGGATGAGTGGGATGACTAGGGATGACTATGGCTCACTGGGATGACTAGGGATGACCTAGTCAACCAAGTCACTGTAGTCACCCTTATTATCCTAGTCACCGAAGACACCCTAGTCACCCAAGGCTCCCAAGTCACCCAAGTCACCTAAGTCACGCTAGTCACCCTTGTCATCCAAGGCTTCTAAGTCACCCTAGTCACCTAAGTCAGGCTAGTCACTCTTGTCACCCAATGCACCAAAGTCACCCAAGTCACCCAAGACACCCTAGTCATCCAAGTCACCCAAGACACCCTAGTCATCCAAGTCACCCAAGTCACCCCAGACACCAAAGTCACCCAAGTTATCCTAGTCACCTATTTTATTACTAATACCGCATTCAGGTTCCCTGTGGACGAAGTCAAAGCTGCACAGAAAAAAGCACAAAAGCACACTCAAGTGACAAAAAAAATAATCATGCTGATTTTCTGTCTAACTGGTCATTAAATAGGAGAGACACTTATTCCCATATTGAACAATGTGTGATATAAGAAAAGAGATACATGTATGAGCATGACTGTTGCTAAAATGGCAACATGTAAACATTTATATGCCAATTTGGCCTTATATATGTATGTATCTCAGGTTTCTTAAAATCAGTTTATGTTACAATAAATATGACCTCTAAGATGTCCCAATCACAATCAACCATCGTTTAGACTATTTACAGTTCTGGGTTAAAGCAAATTGATACCATCCCCTGATAAGGACCTTTATAGAATAATTAACTACATGTATTCTGCACTTACCTTTCAGTCTTTTTTCTCCCTGTCTTGTTTGTTGCTGTTTGCTTGTTTTTCTTCTTGTCATCATGATGCAAAATAAGCTGTAGCAAATTCATACAATTTTACTGTGGAACCTGAAAAAATTATGACCATTTAATTTTCTTCATTTTCATGAGAACTTAGAAGCTAAATTAAAAAGCATCCAGAAAAGTCATTTTCCCCTTGGTTGATTTACAATCATCTTCAGTTTCAAGTAATACAGTAACTGTAATTTGAAATAACAATATATCTGATTATACATGATACAATAATTATTACAAGTGATGTCACAACTCGTGACTGTGAAAGGTTTGAACCCAGGAGTCATTTCATAAGTAGATAGAGCATGATCATCCGGGTGATCATAGCCCTGAGTTAAGGATTGTTGTTGACAGTGGCTGACATTTCGATGACCTGTGCAGTAGTCATCTTCAGAGTAAAAGTTAGTTGTATCATGTCAGTTGCATTGATGGTATAAACTCTGGTTATTGACCTGATTGGTCAATAAAGTTGTGATGTTAATGGTCATCTGTTGGTTGTCATTCTGTTGTTGTCAGTTTTGCTTGAGCCCATCAATAAGTTGTTTGAAAAGTAATTTAAAAAATATATTTAAAAAAAATCTTTTATTTCAAAGTAGTCTGTTTAAATGTAAAATATACTGCAATAACAAATAAAAAATAAAAGTAGAAAAAATAACGTTAAAACAAAAAGGCAAGCTCAGCATTTTTGAGCTGGTTGTTTAATGTTGTATTCTCCCACCAGATGTATGCAGCTTCCTTTAACAAAAACTGGTATCCGTTTTGTGTAGAATCAAAAATTAAAAAGCCCCTAATGATCAGATGGAATATGTCGACATGCAGGGTAATTCCCCCATATTCAGGGAGGTCAAACATCTACTAACAGCCACCTCTCTAAAATCATCACTTCAACACATTAAATACAACAGATAAAATCTTTGGATCCCAGTTCAGAGGCCTTCCATTCATCCTTAATAATTTATCAACTTGTGGTAGTTAACAAATTAGGAGAGCAGGGAGGTGGGGAAGTGATTTCACTGCATAGTCATTCATGGGATTTAGTAACACAGGATAGATACCTGCAATTTACTGGGCTCTGTGGAAAAACTGTGCTCGCAGGGGCATAGCCAGCCCATAGACCTGTAGTCCTGGGCCTACAAATTTTTGGATTGATCACTCCACCACTTGTGATAAATTATGTGTTGTTGGGGTGATTCAAAAAACTTAAGAGCTCATTTTGTTGGTGAGGTCAGTGCATACTAGTCATGTGTGCAATTTTCAGGATATGTGAAAATGAAAGTCAGCCAGGTCTACAACTAGTAGAAAAGCTGGCTATACCCCTGGCTAGCATTGTTCAATTTTAACATCACACTGCGCAATGTGTTGCACACCAGAATCATTCATGTAGGATACATGTAATAGCACAACGTGTGGGATAGGTTTAGAGCTGCCTCTGAACTAAGCAGTAGTTGCTACTTGCACAAGAACAACAGCCCTTTGATTATGCAGCATACATGAACATTACAGGTCAAAATTTAATTCAGGTTAAAATGTTTAAACCTACAATCAACGACAAAACTCTTGAAACATTGCACTCAAATAGTGTGACTTAATAATAATAATAATGATCATAATAATGGCTTAATGCCAGCATATCCATGTAAGTGGCTGTTCACCTGAACATACTAAAACTACTGACTAAAAATTATAAGGATCACTAAAGATAAAAGATTTATAAATACTATGAATTTATGTAAACATGGCTTTAGTGAGTGTCTACAGGTCCTCGTCTGCTAAGTATGTCCTTGGCACCAAGACTTTCACCCTCCCCACGCAGGACAATGGGTAACTGTCTGCGCCTCCCACTGAGCTCTGCAATTATCATGATAATTATTGTCAGGTGGCTCAGGCAACAAGGTACTTGCCAATCAAACCCTCTAATAAACACTGCTCCTTAGTGAATTAACCGCGGCTGTGTCAAAATAGCCTCCTCCTAACTACACTGGTTTTGCCCCCCTGGTCTGATCCACGCACCCAGTGTTAGGGCAGTCCCCGGGCTATCCACCTGCGCTGACCAAGACAGCAAGCCCCCCACATTTTTGGAGACCGCACCGGCTCGGAGCCAGGCTGTGCCTGGCGCATGGTGAAAAGTTAGTGGCTGGCCATGTTTAAAAGAAAGGAGACGGATATATAATAAGGTTCAGTAGTTACAAGTGACTGATGAAAAAGATATAGCTGATATTAAACTGTTAAGCACATAAAGATGGGAAAAAATAAAGTAAATTAAACAAATAATAAATAAATCAAATGAAATAAAATGTTAAGTACATGTACATAAAATGATTTAAGAAGTGACAACATAAGGCTAGCACAACTAGTGACATCTCATCCTTTCAGGGAGAAAGAAAAGTTATTTCACAGAAACACACCCAGGATTATTACTGAATATGATTTTGAANATGGTCATCTGTTGGTTGTCATTCTGTTGTTGTCAGTTTTGCTTGAGCCCATCAATAAGTTGTTTGAAAAGTAATTTAAAAAATATATTTAAAAAAAATCTTTTATTTCAAAGTAGTCTGTTTAAATGTAAAATATACTGCAATAACAAATAAAAAATAAAAGTAGAAAAAATAACGTTAAAACAAAAAGGCAAGCTCAGCATTTTTGAGCTGGTTGTTTAATGTTGTATTCTCCCACCAGATGTATGCAGCTTCCTTTAACAAAAACTGGTATCCGTTTTGTGTAGAATCAAAAATTAAAAAGCCCCTAATGATCAGATGGAATATGTCGACATGCAGGGTAATTCCCCCATATTCAGGGAGGTCAAACATCTACTAACAGCCACCTCTCTAAAATCATCACTTCAACACATTAAATACAACAGATAAAATCTTTGGATCCCAGTTCAGAGGCCTTCCATTCATCCTTAATAATTTATCAACTTGTGGTAGTTAACAAATTAGGAGAGCAGGGAGGTGGGGAAGTGATTTCACTGCATAGTCATTCATGGGATTTGGTAACACAGGATAGATACCTGCAATTTACTGGGCTCTGTGGAAAAACTGTGCTCGCAGGGGCATAGCCAGCCCATAGACCTGTAGTCCTGGGCCTACAAATTTTTGGATTGATCACTCCACCACTTGTGATAAATTATGTGTTGTTGGGGTGATTCAAAAAACTTAAGAGCTCATTTTGTTGGTGAGGTCAGTGCATACTAGTCATGTGTGCAATTTTCAGGATATGTGAAAATGAAAGTCAGCCAGGTCTACAACTAGTAGAAAAGCTGGCTATACCCCTGGCTAGCATTGTTCAATTTTAACATCACACTGCGCAATGTGTTGCACACCAGAATCATTCATGTAGGATACATGTAATAGCACAACGTGTGGGATAGGTTTAGAGCTGCCTCTGAACTAAGCAGTAGTTGCTACTTGCACAAGAACAACAGCCCTTTGATTATGCAGCATACATGAACATTACAGGTCAAAATTTAATTCAGGTTAAAATGTTTAAACCTACAATCAACGACAAAACTCTTGAAACATTGCACTCAAATAGTGTGACTTAATAATAATAATAATGATCATAATAATGGCTTAATGCCAGCATATCCATGTAAGTGGCTGTTCACCTGAACATACTAAAACTACTGACTAAAAATTATAAGGATCACTAAAGATAAAAGATTTATAAATACTATGAATTTATGTAAACATGGCTTTAGTGAGTGTCTACAGGTCCTCGTCTGCTAAGTATGTCCTTGGCACCAAGACTTTCACCCTCCCCACGCAGGACAATGGGTAACTGTCTGCGCCTCCCACTGAGCTCTGCAATTATCATGATAATTATTGTCAGGTGGCTCAGGCAACAAGGTACTTGCCAATCAAACCCTCTAATAAACACTGCTCCTTAGTGAATTAAGCGCGGCTGTGTCAAAATAGCCTCCTCCTAACTACACTGGTTTTGCCCCCCTGGTCTGATCCACGCACCCAGTGTTAGGGCAGTCCCCGGGCTATCCACCTGTGCTGACCAAGACAGCAAGCCCCCCACATTTTTGGAGACCGCACCGGCTCGGAGCCAGGCTGTGCCTGGCGCATGGTGAAAAGTTAGTGGCTGGCCATGTTTAAAAGAAAGGAGACGGATATATAATAAGGTTCAGTAGTTACAAGTGACTGATGAAAAAGATATAGCTGATATTAAACTGTTAAGCACATAAAGATGGGAAAAAATAAAGTAAATTAAACAAATAATAAATAAATCAAATGAAATAAAATGTTAAGTACATGTACATAAAATGATTTAAGAAGTGACAACATAAGGCTAGCACAACTAGTGACATCTCATCCTTTCAGGGAGAAAGAAAAGTTATTTCACAGAAACACACCCAGGATTATTACTGAATATGATTTTGAAAAAAAGAGTGTGTCTCACGACAGAAGTAATTAAAAATGGTGCTTTTTTTAATATGAACAGCAAGACTAAATTAAAAAAACCATGCAGCATTATCTTGAAAGCTGTCATTCTTTGTCATTCTTTCCATTTGGACAAGTTCATTGATCTTGAGGTAAGATGGCCAGGCAGCAGAATACAAAGCCTTGAAAACAAGTTTAAGCAAATGAAAATCTCCACTTTCCTTCACTGGTAGCCAATAGCAACCTAATTTTTAAAACATCATCTATGTCTCTAGCATAACGTCCAGCGACATAACTAGCCACGGAAAATCTTTTCAAGAGAAAATCAGGAAGTGAATGAAAAAAAATGACACAGTAGTCACATCTGTAAGTTTTAGATAAGACTAATGATTCAGTTGGGTGTTTTCTGAGCTTAAAGTTAGAAAAGTCTTTAATTTTCCGTAAGATGCCAAGCATGTAACAGGACTTTGATAACTGATACACAAGATATAGATGTCCACTGAAATGAATCCCAAGGAGCTTGCTTATATTGACACGCTCAAGTGATCTATTGAATATCCTAAAGGAGGGATTGAATTGTCCAAGGGGGTGAACAATAGACATCTGGCTGGTGGACAGAACCATTGTCTTGGTCTTGATGGGGTAAGTGCTAAGTGAGATTCAGCAGACCAAGAGCTGAGGCATTGAGTGCACTGTTAAGATCTTCAGTTTTTGAGGGAGGTCATTAGCACAGCAGCTGGAATAAATAGTCGCATCATCAGCATGCTAATGAGTAGAAACATTAGTTGGGAGGTTATCCTGGTTATCCTGAGTCATAAAGGTTGAACAACATGGGTGCCAGTATTGATCCCCGGGGACACCAAACTGAAGAGAACAAAACAATCCACACCCCTCACCTCCATTCAAAGTTGGGGTGTTTGTTGTTTTCTACAGCAGCACAATTCCATAGAGGGATGGGGGAGAGAAGCCTTATTTTCCCCTTTTGAAGGAGGTAAAACATTAGATAGGCCTGTTAGGGCAAAGTGTCTAAACTAATTTTGTCACCGATTGTTGGTTGATTCTCAATTTCCTTTGTCTTCTAGGCCTTATTTGTGAATAGTTTGATGTGTAACACAATGACACTTTTGCGTGCTATGAATGTACATGTAAAATTGATGACATCAAATATTTTCCTATAAACAGAATTAAGACATGCAATTCACCATGGAGATGAAACAAAAAAGGCAAATACCTTTTCCAGACTGATAGTAGTCACACCAGACTACAAAAATCAATGGTCATCTTACAATGAACCCAACCTTTCACAAGGGCACATGTGAATGTGCTGAAGAGGATTCTCCAGGTTGACTTACTGAAATGCTCTTTTTGCTGACAGATTGAGAGAGGCCATATTTCACCTGTACCATGTAGCCATAACCATGGCCACGTAGCCGTAGCCATGGCCAAATGAGACATGATACAGTGAGGTAAGATATTGGACAGGCAGACTTTGCTTTTCGTTCATAATGCTTTTTAACTGGAAAACTTTGCTTAAGGTGGCCAAAAGAAACTCCAAGACAACCCACCACCAAATCCAAATTCAGTCTAATACACATGCTGGTTTCAAACTGACATACAGAGAAAATTGTGGGAAGTCATTAAAACCTTTGGGATGGAAGTGCAGAAGATGGGGTAGGGGGAAGGGGAATTGAGGTTTATAATTAGCCTGATACATAATTATGTAATAAACTCATGTTATAAACTAACTAAGACAGTACATGTGCTCTGCTTGGCTGAGAGGAGTGTTTGCATGAGAGTATGTAAACATGGTTGTGGCGTGGAGATGTTTTGCTTTTCACGCGCTGATCACTCAAGCACAAATTTGAAAAAGTTTTCGAGCTCAAAACTCGACAAGTTTACTTAATTTAGTCATTCCTTCGTTGGCTGAAACTTGGAAAATCGCTTCACTTAAGCTGACATTTTAAGCGAGAAAAGTCCGTATTTTGGAAAGCATCTTTTTGCAAAACAAGAACTGATTTTGCTGGCTAGACTTTGTGGACAAAACTTTGCGACTGATATGAATTTCTCTTTTAATCAGTGCCATACAAAGAGTTTTGCGTTTTTTCTTGGGAAAGTTATTTTATAAAAGCAATAGAAAACTTTTTCCTGTGTTTGCATAGCCTGATATAAACACTCGAGGGGTGGGAAGAATTCTTGACAGTTATGCAAACCCTCGACTTCATCTCGGGTTTGCATAACTGTCTCAAATTCTCCCAACCCCTCTTGTGTTTATATCAGGCTATGCAAACACAGAAAACGTTTTCTATTGCTTAAATAGTCTATCTATTGTGTAACATAGAGGTAAATGTTTAGTAAAACATCTAAATAAGAGTGAAAAAAAAATGCCAAAAAAGACTCAGTAAAGGTATATGAGAGGAATTTCATAGCCATGTTTTAGCAAATTCAGTAATTTTTAACCCACTTACTGTGCTATAAAAGTAACACAGTACAGCATATAGTATTATTCAAATGAAACAAACTGTATTTTTACTTTTGGACACTTGGCGTTACATAGGTTTGACTGTACTTGAGCTTATAAACGTGTATCCCTAACGTTTCTATACAAAAGGCAATACTGCTTACAAAAATTAAGTCTTAAAAGATTAATAACGAGACAAGCCAAACTGTTTGTCACTTCATATTTTAAATTTCCCGCTTCAAGCTTACAATTCCACGCTAGCTGAAACCAAAACTTTCAGACTAGTGATCCTCTTCTTAACGAAATATAACTTAAGATTTTTTCTAAATAAACAAAAAGCATCTTCTTTTGCTCCTGTAAATGTACAAACTTCATACCTGTAGCATGTGATTTCATCAGATTTCATGAAGCCGCAACCTGATCGTAAACAGCGAAAATCGTGGTCAACATTCCAACGATGTACAGCTCTATCTGCCTCTTAGTTTGCCCAAAAATGCCACAGAACGAGGAAGGAATTACTTTTAATAGCGGCAGTTATAAAACAGTCCATTTTTCGCATTGTCTTCTCCAAAAACTGTTACATTTCCCCCATTTGCCGTTGGTAATCTTGGCTTCTAATGCACAGCATTGGGTTCTCATTCCCAGAACCCTCGGGGCACTAGATTTCCCGGGAAAAAATAAAAAGGTCCGTATTGCGTGCAAGGATGACTTTCTCGAATAAACGATCATGGCAAGTTTTTTTTTTTAACAAAGCAGATAAATAAGTTTTATTAAATCTTTTGTAATTTATCTTTCAATCATTTTACAGTGCTACAAACTACTGTATCTTTGACAATGGCCTCACGTCTTGAAAAGTAGCTCGTGTTCTTAACTGTCAACCAGAACACTTAACAAGTCTTTCCTTTTCCTAGTGGGAGGGTTTGCTCTTGTTAATACCGTGAGATGTCAGATTTTCATGTGTTTAAAAAATTGTGCATGGGATTCCCAAAAGCTTAATCTATATGAAAATAATAAAGGCCATGCATTGACATACGACATTGGCTACGAGCTTACTACAAACTTTACCTGACAAAGACTTTTGTTCCGTTTGAAAACCTTTTTTTTTTTTTTCAACTTGCGTATTGATTGCAAGCGTGCTCCTTCCTTTCTGGTTAGCCGTAATAACTTCCTCTAATCGGTCATTTAGAATTGTTTTGGGTGATAACGCTACTGGCGAGCTCAGCGCAATCCACAACGACGGCGAAAACAAGCAAATCAAAAGAGGAACAGGTTGAATAAGCAAACAAAAGCTCTGAGCGCACAGCACACTTTCTTGCAGTTTTCTTTGCCATTATTGTACGACTAACGTTATCTAATCCGCTCCTAAGGTGTCGCTGCATCAATAGCAATCGTTGGCACTTCGTTTTCGTTGGAAATACCCATACAGGTCATACAGAGGATCAATTATTTTGTGACTGAAAAGTGACAGGCAGGTGATCACCGATCATGAATATAGTGATACTTAGAGAAAAATTCTTCTTAATAAGCTTTAGTCAAGCTGTGAAAGGGGTGACGTGACGACGGCAAAGACAAGAAATACATTAGGCTGTTGTCATGGTGAATAAAACGCCTTTGTACGTTTCCTTGCTGCCCTACGCACAAAAACAATGTGGAGTCTCCGGTTACCGGAGTGTCATATGCAAGAAGCCACAGGAAGCTAAGCAACTGCTTAAAGTGCCCATAACCTAAAATTTTATATTTTCTTATCTCAAACTACACCTTATTAAAATAACTTCTGCTAAAAAATTTTGCGAGTTGAACCAAAGACAATTTTTTTAGAATTTTTTAAAAACGTTCAAATTTCCAGCCATTTTGGCACACCATTCGTCTTAGTCTTCCCTCGGAGTATGACGTTATATGACGTACTTTAAGGAACACGTGACTTTATCGACAGGAAAACATTAAGAGTTCTGGTAGGTTTTCCTGTTTCAGAAAAACTTTCTTCTTGCGAAGACATTGTGATTCAGTCCTTACTTGTAATTGATCTTTTTTGTGTACAGCTGGCGAAGGCAAGGTAATGCGAGTTACTTAATTTACGTCACATGACGTCATATGTGAGCCTGCTAGTTCGCGTGACCAGCGTCGCGGGTGTACCGCAAAAATGTAGACTTCAAAAATTGGTAACAAAATCGCATTTTGTTCAAACCACAAAAATTTTCCGCAGAAGTTATTTTAATAAGGTATAATTTCAGATAAGAAAAAAAAAAATTTAGGTGATGGGCACTTTAAAAACAATTTCACTCCCAATATTCATTCATTCCCTCCTGTTCAAGGCTTCGGCCGAGCACGTCCTGTTGAAGACGCTAAATAGTGAACCTTTATACCCTGCATGTTTAAGACTCAAGACCCTGAAAACCCTCCCTATTTAGAGACACTTCCTTGCAGTTTAAGCCAAATAAGGGAGTGCCCCAGGGGACGACATTTTCAGGGGAGCGAGGCTCATTATCTCTTATGTGCAGTAAAGGGGAAGGGAGGTGTCCGAAGGGGGCGAGGTGATTATTAGAATTATTAGAATTTATTAGAATTATCATTATGCAGCCTTCAACGGGCTACAACACACCATACAGACCATATCTACCAGGATGTAGTTGAGCGTAAGGGAGTGGTCATTAATTACTGGCTGGAGGGCCGGAAAATACGGGGGAGAGCTAAAAATTTGAAGGGGCTTTAACGAGGTTCGAAGCAATTACCGGTGCATTAGCGCTGTAGTGCTCTACCAACTGCGTTATGAATACCCAAACATTGGGGGATACGCTCATTTTAACCGGAAATAAAATAAAAAATGAAGCTCTGAATTTTTTTGGCAGGCTTTATGTGTGATTATATTGCTTAGATCATGCTATTATTACTGCATGCGTAATACAATTTGAATTTGAAACTACAACCTTTCTGTATTTGGTGGTCAGAATGAATTGTCTTTACAACTTTAAACAGATAAAATACCTGTGATGACATTATATCTAGTTCAATAAGAAAGCCGATCTGAAAGAAATAATATTTATTCAATTTTTACTTTGCAATGTACAACATGTGCAAAAGTATGTTCAACTTGAAAAAAAAAAGAAACTTCGCAATTCCAATTTTGTTAAATACAAAAACCCCTAAAAGGTGAGGTTAAATTGAAAAGTTTAAACGAGGATTTAAAATTACAGACATAAAAAGATCTTACTAATCCTCTTAAGACAAAGGCTGCACAGCCAGCGGTTTGTGAAAATGACGATAAGCGATAGTTGAAAGAGAAATTAAAAGAAAAAAGATGATGCCGCCGAGAATGCTTGCGATGATAACGCAGGTCGTGCATTTTTCCACGGTGTCATTCGGTTCCTTATTTCTGACCACTGGACAAAGACCCAAAGAAGACAACGAAGATTCCTCGTCATCAGGCGAGTTCCCTTAAAAAATAATAATCAATTCATTGTTATTGGTAATGTTTTCAAAGTAATGCAAGTTGTTCTAGCTTACGAGTTTAGAGCAGATCCTGATTTTTGACAACTTAAACAAGTCAAATGATCAGCACTTTTTGGCGGCATTCCTTGCTATATATTATTTTTGAGGTTCAAAATTATCATCAAACAAAAGTTATTTTGGCGTATTATATTCGCATAGTGGATCTCTCAGGAAGCGCGCGCAGCGAAGCATCATGGGTGAGAAAAACTGGCAACCTATAAATACGAGAAATTTTGGCAATCACGTGACTCTCGTCCGTCCGTACACCCCTACATGTAAGCCGGAGTGAGATTTCGCATTCAAACACCCGCTCGTTTTGGTGGTAAATCGCATGGCCACTTGGACATTTAGAAAGAAAAAGCAACAACAAGGCGAGTCATTTTTTCGACCAAATTTTGATGTCTACACTGACATGGATAACAGAGAAAGAGCAATGGCGCGAGAAATAAAGCAAAGGAGACGAATTTCGCTGGAAGAAGGATGAAAATTTTGTAGTGGCAGTGAGAAAATGAGAAATGCTAGCAGCCAGCAAGGTGAAAAATGAGCGGCAGTGAAAAAAAAAGAGAACAAGAACTCAAAATCGAAATTTTTTGCGAACAGTTGCGAACCACGAGCTGCAGCATTACATGATCCTCTGGAGCATAAAATCCTAAAGACACACGGGTAACTGTTGTAGTTATGTAATTTTCTAGTAGCAGCCATTATAGTTACATTGCTTTCTTGTTCCAACACCCTCCCCCTCATTATATAAGAACAGGTTTTATTTGCCGGGCTGAACTGGTTCTTATATTTATCAGGTGCTTTATGGGCCAAATTTCAGCCTGATGTTCTTAATCCATTTGTTCTTATATACGGGTGTTTACTGTATAAACATGAGATTTTAAGGTACATTTCTGTAGAGTCTTTTGAACAGTATCTATGGTTAGTTCTAGCAGTTGGCTCGTTTAATTAAAGTCTCAAGAGCCGGCGAGGATATCTCTTGTGAGTTTACGTGTGCTATTGGAGGATTCTTATACATAGATTAGGACATTATATTCATCAAGTCAGGAAAACGGAATATGGAAACACATACCCTCTTCGTCAACATCCTCATAGTCGTAACCAAACTCAAACGACTTCTTGAAAATGTTCTCATGAGTGTACACAGGAAAGAGTGGCACAATGAGATCACCTCTGTTGTGACCAAGGGGAGCGTCGTATGACGAAAGAACAGAAGCATTCTTGTTGTACTTACGAAGCCACTTCTCTAAAACCCGATCAACAGAAGAGTGGTGAAGAAAGAAGATGGGGTCATTAGACGCTGATAGAGAGCTACTCATTGCACCTCCAATCACCAAGTGCACTCGATTATGAAGAGAATGAACATTTGGCAGTCGATAACCCGTAGTAGTGTTGATGAAACCCTCAAGGAGGTTTCTAAAATTGCAGCTTGAATCTGCGCTGTAGGGCGGAAGATCGAACGTGTCAAAACGAAGAGCAAAGTTTNCCAAGGGGAGCGTCGTATGACGAAAGAACAGAAGCATTCTTGTTGTACTTACGAAGCCACTTCTCTAAAACCCGATCAACAGAAGAGTGGTGAAGAAAGAAGATGGGGTCATTAGACGCTGATAGAGAGCTACTCATTGCACCTCCAATCACCAAGTGCACTCGATTATGAAGAGAATGAACATTTGGCAGTCGATAACCCGTAGTAGTGTTGATGAAACCCTCAAGGAGGTTTCTAAAATTGCAGCTTGAATCTGCGCTGTAGGGCGGAAGATCGAACGTGTCAAAACGAAGAGCAAAGTTTACATCCTTTTTGGACGGAAAAGTCATGTGGTATCCGTTTTCTTTCATCTTCTTTTTGTCGCTCTCTTTCAAACGCTCTAAAACAGGATTTTTAGTCGCAGGGTCACACATTTGAGTCATGAGCGTGTCTTCATAAGTACATATTGTGCTCCAGTCGTTGAAATATTTCCCCTTCACAGTGCCGTCTCCTTCCGTCACTCCAAGCAGGTCTTCAGTGCAAATTTCGCACTTGTCTTCATTAACGGTCCAATCCCAGTATGGTATGGTAAATTCCTCGTCTTCAGTCACTTCTTGAATTGTTCTCTCTATCGCCAGCAGGTATAACCGATGCCATGTAAGAAAGCCTTGCCCCTCATGCGCAAAGTCCATGACTGTGCCCGTGAGATTATCAGCGTGAACTGGTCCACGCGCTGCATAGTAGTGCACCCACACAAATAAATCAAAGACCGTGACATTGTGAAACAAACTTGTTGGATCCTGGCCGGCAACGGTTCTATCTTGTATTTCTTGGTAGGAACTCCTGCTCACAACATAATCACTGTCCACATACCTGAAAACAAACCGAAATTGTTGGAGACCGATGCTCTGTCGACACTCCACCTACAACACATCGACCAATAACGTGGTCTCGCGCGATACTCGTTCGATCAATCGGCTGACTGTCGGTAGAGTATCAGTCGACACTCGACCGACAATCGGTCGATACTAGACCAATCGATTTAATTGTCGATTGTATCGATCGATACTACATGGAGTACAAATTTCTTTCATCAGAGAGCACTAACCGTCAGTGATAATTGTTTTGTGATTTTTGCAGGCATAACATTACACTGAAAAATCTTGAAAAATTTCAAGTTTTAATCCTTCACGCCCATCCTTACCATTCAAAGCAACAGACTACAGGAAATTAAATAACAAACCCGGAGCATAATTTTTGGACTTAAAATATTACTGCGAAGAAAGGTTACAGCTTTCTAAAAAGATAGCAAATAGTGTGACAAATTCCCTAAAGGCGTCCTATTCGATAATTATAGGGCGCGCGACAGACTGCTTACAGTCCGCCCATGTTTCTGAAAATTCGTTTAGTTCTTATTCCAGCCAGTGCAATTGCCAACAACGACGTATCAGTAATGGATTAGGACGAGACGAGAAAATTTTTCCTTCCCTCGTTTATCCTCGCCGCTTGCGTGCATGGTTACACTTGGAGTAACTTCAGTCCCCGATGCAATCCTAAAAGTCTGGTGTACTTGTATTGAAATTCCGACCCTGCTCGCTAGTAGAATTCCAGTAGCTCAGTGGTTACACCGTCCGAACTAGAACTCGGAGGGTCGAGAAATCGATTCTCACCTCCACCTCGGAAAATGTTTCTGCGCTTTCTGGTGTTTGAATTCTTCTTCTTCTTTAATTTGAAAAGAAAATGAGAGACAGCTCACAGTCCACGCGCGCAAGAGGGAAAAAGGAAACTTCCTTTCTTCCTTGCCCACCCTGACGCCCCGTTCCAGTTCCTTTCGAACGCCTGGGCGCGCTTGTTAAATCTTACCTTGTCTTATTGATGTAACTCATATAACGATGTTTCTCGTCGTTTGTCAGCTTGGCGAAGTTTCTACGCTTCAGGAGTCTTTTCTGGTTGCAGTCGTCACCATGGTAACCGTATTTACACTTGCTACAATCGTAACCGGCAAACTTTGACTTGCACTTGCAACTTCTGTTGAAAAGCGCATTGGGCCAGTTATGGCGGTCGTCCCCTTTATGGAATTCTTGGTAATGGCTGTACGCTTTGTTCCACCGGCGAACGATCAAATCCTGGCATTCACCACGGTCTCCGTCTGTACCACATGGTGCTTTGAAGCCGTTTGGTGTAGGGCAACACGTCTTGTCCCTCAAGCTCTCGAGGTTCACACAGGCTTTCGGAAACTGGCTCTCAACCCACGGAAACCAAAGAGCAATAATATAAAGAAAACTAGTTATCTGAAAGGTCATCTTCTTTTCCTGAAAAATAGTAAGTAAGGGGGACTAACTATTTCATGTTTTTCATTAGGAGTGGCTGGGTTGCAGATCACTGACCTACAAACTCTATAGTACGAGTTAATCTTCCAATTATGATTATTTCAAGTAAGACTGATAATTATCTTCGCGAACTGATCTAGTTTGACAACTGAAACACTCGAACCTCCTGTAGAAGAACGGCTAAACCGTGAATATTTAGTGGTCGCCTACGTGAAGTGGTCGCTTACAAGAGTCGAACCGAAAGGGTCTCTTCCGGAATTAGGTTTAAGACATCTAAATCAGATTCAAGAGAATTTATTGCATATAATCACGTAAAGTATCATGTTGTTATAAAAGGTCTTCGTATACTCTACATACAGCGAACATAGAGATGAGACAGAGAGGGAAGGGATAATGCGCTAACAACCTCTTCCCGAAGGCGCTTTTCCCTGGCTTTTCCCGCCCCACTTCCAGACCTAAGAATGGCCTTGGTACGTCACGTGACAATTAATGACTCCAACCATAATTCAAAGTTATTGAAGTTACACCAGGTAGTCTGTCCATAAGTTATTTGGTGCTATATTGAAAGCTTAAAAAGTTAGACCACCCCCTCTGTTTTTGAGGAATTACATAGAAGACCCATGCCTTAATTTTCTTGAGATTCCATGCTTTGGATTCCAGTCTTTGTCAATGGAACTTAGATTGTGGATTCCAGTCGTTTGTGGGATTCCGTATTCCCAAGCCCAGGATTCCAGATTCTACAAGCAAAAACTTAGAGGAATCCGGCCGGAACCCGCACTCCCTTACATGGGGCGGGATATCAGAACAGTGCGCAGAAGAATAATATCCACGGAGCACAGAAGAGTTATCTATGACCTCGTTAAGTTCAGAGCCAGGACGAATTGCCTTCACTTACTACAGAGTCAAATATCAACTAGACAGATCAAAATTTGTTATAAATCTGTTAAATTATAATCCAGATATTATCCAATGCTCGGTGGGAACGAACGTTGCGCGAATGACGCATTCGCTTTCCTAGTGCGGTACGAAGTTTAGTTGTTGTTATTCGTCCGCAGTCATTGCTTTTAGCTGTTTACGGGAGCATACCGAGTGGCACGAAATTTTTGCGGATTGGCGATTTTTTTCTGTTTTGCTATTGCTATTGCTATTGCTATTTTTTGCGATTAGGACAGATTGTTTTTCCTGCTGGGAATTAATTTTCGCGATTTTCAGAAAGTACCCAGTACCCAGCATTGAAATACGGTATTTTCGTTTTTGTTTGAGTACGTGCACTAGAAACACATATTTTCAAACAATAAGCCAGTATTTAATTGTATACTGTTGAGTTTCTGAATGAAAGAGACAAGTTGTGATTGAACAGACACGATTTCTTAGTACTGTATTTTTGTGTGGCGAATTTAAGTTTGAGAATAAATTACTCTGGAGTAAATTTTTGCGGGAAAAATGTTTGCGGTAATTTTTATTTAAGAAAACTTATTTTTTAGGATCGCTGGAAAAATCGCAAAAATTAGAACCCGCAAAAATTTCGTGCCACACGGTAGGATAATATATTTGACAGATTTGTAACACGATCGCACCATGATTTGTACGTCCTTCTATGTGAACAAATGCGATTCGCGCTACCAACTGTATAATCAAGGCCACAAATAACTCCTCTGGGCTCTGCGCTGTATCGAGTTGTCTATCTACGATCTCGAGAAACAAATCCGGCTGCAATGCATGCTACGTCAGATTCGTGGGTTACAGAAAAAACTCCTTATTTCGGGTTAAAGGTTACGCAACGGTGTCGACGCTCATATTTTGACATGTTTTGAGTTTGGATAACCTGTGGACAACTGTTGTGGAGCAGTTCAATGAATGAACGCGTTTACTAACTCAAGACGAAGTCGTTTACTAAATGTGACTTAGTACCTGACCAGGTTTTGTAATCCTCATCGTGAGTTTTATATTTCCCTTAAGTTATTTTTTCCTAAAATGAAGTCAACCTCTAGCTCTAGGAACTGGTGAAGTCAACATGTTCACAATGGCAGGAAGGACTTTATGTTGTCACAACCAAGTAAACGAAATACACAAGAGACTTAAGAGTCTTTTAGCTGTGGTGTTTTAGGAAAGAAACTTATACAAAATTGTAATAAGAGAGCAATAGAGCAAGTTTACTCACCAATCAATCCTCCGTTTCTCTTCTAACAATATGAAACCAGGTGTGAAAGCACAATACAAACAACTGATAGTTTAATATTTCCCTAGGAGAGATCGTGCTCAACATGATCTGGTACGGCGCCCCGGGGTCATGGCCTGTGTAGCAGTCGTTTCCCGGCTTAGCACGCCTATTCAATTTTTTTTCTCCTTTTCAACCCCGCGCGTCCTTTACGCTTCTCTCGCATGGCTAAAAGAAAATAGCCTGCGTAGCTGACAGGAGTACTTTCTAAGCGAGTGGCAGGGCCGCCAGAGAAAGGAGAAAATCCTGCCTGCCACATTTCTTATGAGTTTTGAATGCCACCCTCTTTTGTCATCCTGCTCAGTATCAGGCAATCAGGAAAAGAGATGTAAAACGAAACCGTTGGTAATTTAGGGGCGGACCCTTAGGAAAGTTATGGGGGATGAGGGAGGGGGGGTGGTTGCGGGGAATTTTTTGAATTTTTTTCGTTAACATTTTCATTGCATGATTTCTTAGGTATCTTTTAGGGTTAATTGGCGCGTATGTTTTTTTTTTTTAATATCATTTCCCCTTGCGCGAATATTTTTTTTTTACTTCGTCCACCCCCAATAAGTCTTCTAATGGTCCGTCCCTTACTCACAAAAAGGCGAGAATTCGACCCCATGATCCTGAAGTGTCTCTTAAAAGAAGACGGTGTACATTTTGTCTTTTGTCCTAAACAGGGTAATAAAAATGAGGTTGTTGTCCTAAACAGGATATGTATTTTATGAATTTTTTTGTCCTGAACAGGGTCAGGGTCAGGGTCAGGGTCAGGTCACCCTCAGCGACTCACCTGTTACCAATTATTAGTCGAGTATCCCCGGGGAACTTCCCTTTGGTGCCCTGAGTATACTATCGACGTGAAATTTCCGATATTTTCAGAGGCTACGACAGCCTGCTACTACTATTTTGCAGCGTTAAAGAAAGAGCATCCCCAGAAGTCTTCTCCTTGAACTGCATGGCGGATCTAGGGATTTTACGATGTGGAATCTAGGAAAAGTTGTTCTTAAGAATCGTCATCCATTCAGAAAAGAAAAGCAAGATTTTCGTTTTGAATTCGCAGTAAGTTGCCTACATTTTCGTCGACCCTTTTACGTGCCTAATTTGATTATGCCACCGTTTTTACTCCTCTATCTGTCCTATCTGCCACGGGTTCTCCGGAAATAAAGGAATCTAGAACGTGTAAGGTAACTTGATAAGCAAAGACAAAACATAAAAGAAGATTTTAGATATTTTAAAACTGAAATCTTATTATTATCCCTAAAAACTTTAGTGACCCCTACCGGCGTTTCGTTTCAAATCTCAGTTGGAGACCAGCGCGGGCCAAAATATTTACGAGCGTCGCAAGGGTGCGACGGCTAAAAGCTGGTGACAACAATATTGTTTCGAGTTTCAATAAATGTACAACCGGTACGGTTTACGAGACGACACGAAAGCTATCCGGCAAAGCGTGAAAAAAGCTTAAAAGACGACAGTCCACACCTATTATTTGTTTCCTTAGTAACTCATCTTCTGCATGTTTATAACTGTGACTATACTTGATATTATTGTCCCAGGACAATATGGCAGCAGACTATAACTTTACTTATTTCTACAACATCGAAAGGCAAAGACGCTAATAACCTTGACCATCAGCAGGCGAAAGAGATCTAGTGTCATTTACTGGAGCTTTTCAGTTCCAGATCTGTGAAAACTAAAGCGCGCTTGGGGGAAAAACATCACGGGCTGCTGACACCAGTTTTTGAAACACTTAGAACTAAACAGGTTTTTTTTTTCTATAAAATAAAGTTGAGATGTTCTGTAGCATTTCAAGATGGAGGGGCATCAAGAGGGTTTATCGGTTGTGCTTGTCCTCGTCCAACATTCTTGGATTTTTTCTTTCCTGAAAAAAAGGAGAGTTATTTAAATTATTTTATAGAGAACAAACTATACTTTGTTTTTAGAGTTGAATGATATATTAAGTTGACTACTACAGTCACCGTTTTCTTCACTGCAGTAGCCTGAGAAAACAGCCGACATTTCGCAACGCAAATAACGGTTTCCCCGCGAAATGACGTCTGAGAAACGAGCGCAGAAATTCCATACTGATGACGCGTCACTACCCACGTCTGGGTAGTGCTTCTGATTGGTTGAAGCAAATTTTCACGAGCGGCACGACCAACCAGAAGCACTACCCAGATCCAGGTAGTGACGCGTCATCAGTATGGAATTTCTGCGCTCGTTTCTCAGACGTCATTTCGCAGGGAAACCAGTGCACTGGTTTAAATTGGTTTTATGGTTTTATGGCCTGTCTAAATTTACGAACCTACATCAATAGCATAGATATATGTTGAACGGAAGCTGTATTTTATAACATCCAAACTTATAGCAGCTGTAACAATTATAGCAACGTACTGCTCAATGGATGCATTAATCGATATCAACCAAATTCTCCGCCTGTTTGTTTCGATCATGTTTTAGACTGAAGAATTTCAGCATTTACTTAGATGACGCAGACTGGCCTCTCAAACAAAGTATGGCTTATGCAATAAGACTCTTAGAGACACAAGATCAAGCGCCGTCAATAAAGTACATCAAGCTGTTGTTAAAATTAAGTACATCAAGCTGTTGTTAAAATTAATAAATAAATAAGTAAATAACCAGGCAACAAGAGTCTGAGATGGCGAGCGCGATGAATGATGAAACGCAGGAATAGAAAGGAAGGTCTCTGTCTTCTCGCGTGTCATCCTCCCGGTCTCAAACAATTTCTTTTCGGTCCTTTGGGCCTCAGTTTGGT